CCGTCAATTTGCTTCTGTACCTGCATCTAGCTCCCTCCCACCTCCGTTTCCTACCCATGATGCAATTAACTCTGTTTCACCGGACGAGGTCCTCCAAGTTTTGAGGAGAATCAAAGCCTATAAAGCTCATGGTCCCGATGGATTAGCACCTCATTTATTGAAAGTCTGCGCCGACCAGCTTGCGATACCAATTGCCGAATTGTTTAGTACTTGTTTGTCATCTGGAACGATCACCGATTGTTGGAGGTCAACCAGGATCAGACCAATCCCAAAAAAAGGATCGTCAAAGTACCGTCCCATTGCCTGCACATCTGTGTTGCTGAAGGCTTTTGAAAATGTTTTGCTGCACCGCATGATAACCCACTGTAACGCCCATGACCCTTTACAATTTGCTTATAAACCCCATTTATCCACACTTGACGCCGTTGCTCATATTGTTCATTCTATTGCTTCCGTCTTAGACAATGGCGCTGGTACCACTCGTTTAACTTTTCTTGACTATACAAACGCTTTTGGTTCTCTCGACCAAAGTGTGCTTATTGATGGTCTTTCTGAGTGTGGTCTAACTCCTGAAGTCTTGAATATACTAATCAAATACTTCTCCCGTAGGATTCAGTTTGCTTCACTCAATGCTGTACAATATTCTTCTAGTAACATTGAAGCCGGTGTTTTTCAGGGTGCCATTTTGCCCCCTTTCTTGTTTTCCATGTATATACAAAATTTGTCCATCCCCACCAACTTTATTGCTTGTAAGTATGCTGATGATATTGTGATTGATTGCCCAGCCCCCTATTCCAGACAGTTTTCGACCTCTCCAGGACAGTCTTAATGAACTTAACGATTGGTCTGTGACCCTTAAGCTTAACGTCAATAAGCGCATCGAAGTTCCATTTAGTCTTAAAACCGGTCTCCGTTATTTTTTATTAGTTGATAATCTCCCTGATCTTAAAATTAACAATCAAAGCTTTCCCGAATCTGCATCTGTTAAATACCTTGGTGTCACCCTTACCTATAACCTGTCCTGGTCTGCTCATGTCATCAACGTTTTCACTAAAGGTCGAAAACTGTCTTTCGATGCTTACAGGCTCAGGAAACTGGCCGTACCGCATAATCTTATTATTAGATTTGTGATTGCCTGCATTCTTCCACACTGGCTATACTGCTCCCCGATTTTTATCCCCGGACTGAAAGAAAGAGACTTCTCTTTATTTTCAAGACCCCTTAAACTTTTGTCCGGCTACAGTGGAGTTGATAAAGCTGTTTTAGGTGATTTCTTTATTTCCAAGCATCTTGACGCTTGTGATACATTCATTGACAGGA